CTCATTCTTTAAAGACATTGTTTGAGCAGGTACAGATGGTAGGTCAGCCTCAAGAAGTGGCAAAGTTGGGTGTCGTCTTCCATACACAAAACTAGGCTTGAACTGTTCAGGAGTAAATGGTAGGTCATCAAAGTGTAGAAGAATATTTATCCCAGTCAAAGACTAAACATGAGTAGGAAAGAAATATTGATTTTCGAAGAACACCACATGACGAAATATATGAAATCTACTAGAACAAAGATTATAGCAAACATAACCTTTATGAGAAATACTATAACCTATAAACGAGCATATAACAGATTGAGTAGAATGTTTGTTGTGTTCATGAGGGGGCAAATGAACAAAACAAACACAACCAAATGTATGCATGTCAAGGTAGTTGAGATACATATGGTACAAACGATAATAAGGAGTCTTAAAGTTTTGAACAATGGAGGGCAATCAATTAATTAAGTAGACTGTTGTAGATAAAGTTTTGACCCATAATTTAGATGGAACAAAAGATTCAAGTAATAGTGTTCGAACAACATTTAATAGATGACGAATTTTTTGTTCAGCAACACCATTTTGTTGATGTGTATAAGGACAAGAACGTTAGGAGATAATGCCTTTTTGGTGAAGGAAGTCATAAAACTCACGAGACATATATTCAACTCCTAAATTAGACCTTAACACTTTAATGCCCAAAGAAAATCGAGTTTTAATATAAACGACAAATTGTTGAAATATAGAGAATACCTCAGATTTAGAGTGAAGAAAATAAGTATAGGTAAACTTACTATAATCGTCAATGAATGTAACCAAATATTTATAATTTGCATGAGATATAATCGGAGATATACTCCACACATCACTATGAATCAAATCAAAACTTCTTTCTGCCCGACTATCATGAGAAGAAACGGAAAGAGACTTACTCTTACCTAATTTGCATGTGAAACAATCAATATGAGACGAGATTTTATCTATATTGTTCAAATGAGATAAAACAAAAGAGTTGGGATGACCCAAAAGTTTGTGCCATACTTCACTCTTATTATTAACAATAGTACAAGCTATGGAAACAAATGGAGGAATAGAAAAAGGGTAAAGGAAACAATCAACCAACTTTAGGTCCCTTCGTGATTATCTTCCTTGACACCTGATCCTACACAAGACAGCCGTCATGAGAAAATCAAACAGGGGGATTAACATCTCAAATAGCATGAATGGGTAGCTTACTACCATTAGCAATTTGAATATATGAGAATCTTTTATATGTCCGAATATTAATAAGAGTATCAGAAAAACTAGTCATATGATTAGATGCACCAGAATCAACAAGCCAAGATGATCGTAGTAAGGAATCTTTACCTTGAAGCCCTAAGGCTAAAAAAGCTTAAATAATCATCTATTGGACCATTTTTGGAGTAAGGACAGATGAATTGCTAGCCATGGAAGTGGTAGGACCAACTGTAGCTTGATATGCATTAATCTGACTATTTTGAGGATGAGTAGGGCATTCTTTAATAACATGTCCTGGCTTCTTGCAGTAGTTGCAAAACTTTTTTGCACAGTGGGCAGCAATATGTCCATATGCCTTGCAGCCAAAGCATTGGACTTTTCGTATGTCTCTGCCATTGCCTTTTCCTCGAGCAGCATAGGCAACTTCATTAGTTGGTAATTTGTCGTGTTGGTAAGTAGCCTATGTAGCAAGTCGTTGATCTTCCCAAAGTAACTCTCCAAAGCACACATCCAAAGAAGGAGATGGATCATGATTCATCAAATTATATCGAATAGCTTCAAACTCATGTCGTAACTTCACCAAAAACTGAATTTTCTTGCTCTGCTCATGAACCTCTTAAACCGCAGCAAGTGAATCATCAAGTATTTTTGCATAAATCATATCAGCAAACTCTGCCCACAAGTTCTGAAAACTAGAAAAATACTCTTGAATGGAAAGATCGCCTTGACTATAAGTAGCAATGTCAGACTACAATTGAAATCGTCAGGCTGTGTTGTCCTGATGATCTTGAATGGAAAGATCGCCTTGACTATAACTAGCAATGTCAGACTCTAATTGAAATCATTGGGCTGTGTTGTCCTTATGATAAACCTTTTTCAAATATTCCTACATACTTTTAGCCTTTCTTATATGGCCTCAGATTTAGAACAATCAGAGGTTCAACAGATCCTAAAATCCAAGTCATAACTTGAGCATTTTTTATCTTCCTTGTTGCCAATTCTTTTAGATTTGTGGGAGCTGATTTGCCTTCATCTAAATGACCCCACAGTTCTTTTCCAGTAACAAATAGCCAAAATTGAAGTTCTCATGTAGAATAATGCTTACCCGTAAATTTTACACCAAAGAATTCCAAATTACTTGTAGAAATTGTAAAAGAAATTAAAAAATAACTCACAAGCCCAATTGAGATAATAGTTACTCCAATAGAAACAATAGGCCCAAAATCACATCCAACCAAATTAAAATAAAGAGGCCCAATGAAGAAGCCAAACTGCACAATAATGGCCCAACATAAATAAAGGAAGCCCAACACAAACACTGTAAATAGGCTCAATGTCCAACTAAATTAAAATAAAGAGGCCCCATGAAGGAAGCCCAACACAAACACTGTAATCAGGCCGGGTACTTACCACATTGTGACCGACCGATCTTCATAAGTCGATCAATGCCAATTGCTACAACTCACAATCAATTGAGGATTGATCGTAGACTACTAACCAATCAATATAAAGCCTGTGTTTGTCAATTGCACCCAAGATTTAATAGAATCGACAATTGCCTACTACAAGTAGCAGCCTGAGTTTGCCGACATGAAATTCGTGATAGCCAAGAACTACAAAAGAGGGGACCAAGACACCAAGAGAAAAGGCTGTCAATCACAAAGGTCACCGGAATCCAAGATCGATAGTCACCGGAAGAGGTAATTGCCTACTCCAAATTTCCCAAAGCCCAAGAAAATTATGTTATTGGCTTTGATACCATGTCAAACATAAATATTTTTTTATTTTGAATGATTCTTCCTGTGAGAATTGCTTCTATTAAATAGGAAGAGTATATTCAATTATAGGGCTGAATATCAATCATTACATGAATCTTGGCTAACTATTGGCTAACAAAGAAAGGAATATACAATAATATACAGAAATTATCCCATAATTCTATCCTACTAATATTCTCTTTTGTGAAAGCATTGCTGTAACATCGCTTTATTGACTTCAGAAATTCCCTAAACTGGGTTGTGGCTTTCCACTTTCCCTGCCTCTCTAAGCACACCTATTTTCATGAAAAACGCGCCCTCGATCAGAAGTCATAAAAACTAGCACTTCTAAATAACAAATAAAGATTAATAACCACATATCCTTATTAATTAAATGATTTGAATTGCAAAAGGAAGACATAGCATATTGTTTGCTAATGCATCACCCATGCACTGGTACATATCCATAAGCATATTGGGTACGATCCAAACAACAAATGGAGTTGGTACGCAAAACTCCACTTTGAAATAGTGGTGCTGAATCCATTGACATCTTTACCAATCAACTGACCGTCCATCAATATCCACCCAACTTTATACTTTATGTCACTATGACAATCCAATTTCATATACAAATTGAAAAAAAGAAATTTAAAAATAAGTTCTGATTTTTTTTTTTTCTTAGTAACTTTTTTAAAATAAGTTTTTATTTTATTTTAAATTTTTTAAAATAATATTTTATTTTATTTTTTTAAAATAAGTTTTTATTTTATTTCTTTTTTTAAGTAACTTTTTAAAATCAGTTTTATTTTTTTAAAAAAATAAATTTTTATTTTATTTTATTTTTTAAAAAAAATATTTTACATATAAGGTTACCATTTTATCCCTTTTAAATTAGTGAAAATTGTGAAAAGAAGTTGAGTGGTAATGATGAAACGTTATATGAAATTGGGTAGCCATAGTGAAACGCATATGAAATTGGGAAGTCATGGGAAAATAAAATCAAATTAGGTGGTCACAGTGATACTAAGCATAAAGATGGGTAACTATGGTAAAATAAATTCAAATTGAATGGCTATCGGTGAATTTAACCCCTATCTTTATTAATCAAACTATAGTGGCTCTTAAGTCTCTAAGAGACGCACTGACAAAATTATGAGTTTTGCAGCCCATCGGTGCACTTTCATATTTTTCATTTTGGTCCCCAAACTTGTCCCTACAATAATTTTCTCCTCTTTTTCCCAGTTTCCTCTTTCCATCTTCTTGACCCTTTCTTTAGCTCTCGAATTTATCTAGTCATCAACACTTTAGTTCCTTTTTAGTCCCTTATTCAAATATAGGAAGTCATCTAAAATACAAAAAACTCTAAATTAATAGAATTCAAATTTCCGAGCTTAACAATTATGTAAATTAAAGGAGCAAAGTAAGTGTAAAATATACACTTATCGATTATATTATTTCCTTTGAAAATAAAGGCAACGACAAAGACACTTCAATGTGTCCTATCTTTATTAATCAAACTAGCGTTTTGTTTCAGTTCATGATCCCACGTCACTTGATGACAAACAGATTCAGGCCCAATTGTATCTTTATAATAGAATTATCATATTTTTTTGTGTGTGAAAGCAAGTCAAATTTACTTACTCTTTACAAACATAACTTATGAACAACGTTTGAGGCTGTGATATTGATTTGCTAAAAAAATTATAAACGATGAAACGTGCTCTCAAATGGGAACTTGAGAGGAAGAGATTCATTCTTTGGCGGTTGGTTCCTTTCAGAAAATGTAATTAATGGAGTGAAAGTATTACTCTACGTTTTTGAAAAACAATTACTTTGGCAACTTAGACTTTGTGGGTTTTATCCAGTAGATAGGATAAAAAAGATTAGGCGAACAACGGTGTCACTTATGTATGATCGCCGTAGCTATCTCATTACTATTATCATGCTTGGTAAGTGAATTAAGTAACATGGACAACAATAAATCTGAAAAATAAAATAAAATAGAACTAAACTCTGTATACTAAATTTATTCTAATACTGCATGTGAAACTTTAATGTTTTATATTGCTAATTTATCGATGGACCACAGCAATTGGTTGGAACAACCTTAAATCATTTGTTATAGAGAACTTGCCTATCTTGCTAGAAACACAGCTTTGATCTTTTGAAGTCTAGCCACAACTTCCCTCATGTTGATTCTTTCTGTTGTAGAATCAATCAAACATTCTATCGCCAAAGCCAAAGTCGAATAGACACATTGCTCCTTTCTGGAGAGATTCTCGTCTTCTCTNGTAGAATCAATCAAACATTCTATCGCCAAAGCCAAAGTCGAATAGACACATTGCTCCTTTCTGGAGAGATTCTCGTCTTCTCTACCAAGCAAATTTGTGTCCACAACTTCAGTTATTCTATTCTCGTTTAATGATTGACTAACCCAACTTTTCAAGCTCATTTGTTCGTCAAACATCTCATATGTTGGCTTCTTCCTTGTATACATCTCCAGCAGCATCACTCTGTAACTGTAGACATCACCACTAGTGGATACTATTCCTTCAGTTCCATATTCTACATTGGCATTAAGCATTCTAAGCTTAGTTGATAATCTAAAAGGCTAAAACTGAGTTCAATTTTCACAAATTTATTTGAAGAAAAAGAAATAGATGCAAAATTCTAAACAGGGAACATCACCTGGTGCCATATATCCAATTGTTGCTAAGGTATTCGTAAAAGCCATTGACTCTCCTTTGCTGAAGAGTTTGGCAATACCAAAATAACCAATGTGGGCAACCATATCTTCGTCAAGCAGGACATTGCTAGGCTTCAAATCAGAATGTACAATGGGGTATGTATCACCATGATGGAGATATTCTAGAGCTAATGCAACATCAATTGCTATATTTAATCTTTTTAGCATGTCCAAGAAATAGTTGTGGGAATATAACCATTTCTCGAGGCTCCCATTAGGCATGTACTCCAGTACCAGTGCTTTGAACTCTGTATTGCTGCAACAGCCGATGATTTTGACTAAATTCCTATGACGAATGGTACTCAGTACTTTACTTTCTGTAGCGAAGCTCTTGGTTGCTCTTGCCTCTGGTGACTGCAAATTAAAAACTTTCACTGCAACATTTAGCCCATCAGAAAGTGTCCCTCCATATACTGAACCAAAACTTCCACTTCCAAGTATGTTGCTTTCACTAAATGCATTTGTTGCTTCTTGAAGTTCTCGATAAGAAATCCTTCTCCATTCAAGACGGAATGGAATTTCACTTTGGGGTACTGGCCTGTCCTGCTTACGTCTTCTTACTATAAACAGTGTCAGGCTCATGGCAAGGATTAATGATAAGGCAGGGGGAAGAATATATTTCATTAGCGTAACTACTTTCTTCGACCGTGATCTTTTATGAGTCCTTCCACACGGTGAAAATTGTTGTCGACTTTCACTGCAAAGAGCATAGTTCTGCATAAACGATTGATTACTGAAGTTTGCAAAACGTCCCCCACTGGGAATCTCTCCCTCCAATCTGTTGTGGGATGAAATATTCTAGATAACTGAGTGCCTCTAATGACTTTGGAATGTTTCCAGAAAAGTTATTATAAGATAGATCTAAGAATTCCAAGCTGCTTATGTTTCCCAGAGACTCAGGAATAGATCCTTGAAATTTATTATGAGCAAAAATTAGCCAAACCAATGATTGCATACCGCCAATAGAGCTTGGAATATCTCCCGAGAACTGATTCCAAGATAAATCTATTCTGTTGATGGCCCTCAAATTTTGGATCCCCCAAGGTAGGGATCCTCTTAATCTGTTCGAGGACAAGTTTAGTATCAGAAGATCATTTAGGTTCCAGAAGCTTAAAGGTAGAGTAGACTCCAATTTGTTGGAGTCTAGGTTGAGTGTTCTCAACGATTTAAGCTCACCCAAACATGTGGGAATTGACCCATAGAGCATATTGTCACTTAGAACCAAGTCCACCAAATTGGTTAACTGGCAAAAATCGACGGGGATATATCCGTCATGTTTATTCTGGACAAAATATATACCTTGAAGATTTGTTAATTTTCCAATTGTTCCAGGGATGAATCCCATCAACTGATTGCTAGCAAAGTTTAAATTTACCAAGCTGCATAAGTTTCCAATCTCAGGAGGAATAGCGCCCTCAATACTGCATCCAAATGCTTTAAGTACCTGAAGAGAAGTAGACAAATTCCCAATAGAAGCTGGGAGGATACCACTCAGCTGATTTAAAGATACTTCCATATACTTCAAATATTGACAATTTGTTAACGAAGAGAAAAATCTCCAAGATTCTCCTGTCAAATTATTTCCTCCAAGCAGAAGGCGTCGTAGAAGTCTTAAATTACCAAAGTCTGGTATAGTTCCAGTCAACGAGTTCAGTCCCATGTCTAACATGGTCAGCTTTGAAGCATTGATGATTGAGCTTGGAAATACTTCAGTGATTCTGTTGCCACCCAGATAGAGCTCTTCAAGATTGAGAAGTGAAAGTCCCATGGTTGAAGGAAGATGGCCTGAAAACTGATTGTATGAAACCTCCATCACCTTCACTGTTGATATGTTGAACATGGGAAAAGGGATGGAGCCGAATAAACCATTGTCATAGACAAA